CAGGCTTGGGGTGTTAGAGCGTGGTGGAGTGGCTCTTAAAGGAGCTGAACTTCTAAAATGGGCTGCAGGTCAAAATACTTGAGGAAATGCTACCATAGTTGTAGGCGAGTTTTACTTCTGTGTTATGGCTAGTCGTGTGTTTGAGCTGATTAATGCTTAAAATATTTTACAGTATGGTGTTGTTTTCTTAAAAGGTACCAAAAACTTTAAGAAAGCTAGATAATACTGAAGATGTCTGTCATGGCTTCAGAATTTTTCGATATGTTGTTCTCATCTCTCTTATTTGTATAGCCATATTCAGGTGATGGTTACTTTTTATTTCACAGTGAAATCTTATGTACAAAGTCTTGGTGCTAAATATTGTGGTTTAATATGTGTATATAACCTGTCTTACTTTTAGGAAGTTCAAGGTATACTACCATATACTGGCTGCAGTAGCAGTACCTAGATACATTTCAGCTGTTGTAGCAAAAGTTGCCTGTTGTGGACCATGGAAATAAAACACGGACCTGTTGGAGCGGGTCCAGAGGAGGACATAAAAATGATCAGAGGGCTGGAGCACCTCTCCTGTGAGGAAAGGCCAAGAGAGCTGGTGCTGTTCAGCCTGGAGAAGAGAGGGCTCTGGGGAGACCTTATTGCAGCCTTTCAGTCCCTCGAGGGGCCTACAAGAAGGATGGAGAGGGACTTTTTACAAGGGCATGTAGTGATAGGACAAGGGGTAATGGTTTTAAACTGAAAGAGGGTAGATTAAGACTAGATATAAGGAAGAAATTTTTTACAATGACGGTGGTGAAAAACTGGCACAGGTTTCCCAGAGAGGTGGTAGGTGCCCCATCCCTGGAAACATGCAAGGTCAGGCTGGATGAGGCTCTGAGCAACCTGGTGGAGTTGAAGATGTCCCTGCTCACTGCAGGGAGGTTGGGCTAGGTGGCCGTTAAAAGTCCCTTCCAACCCAAAGCATTCTGATTCCATGCTTCTGTACTTAGAGTCCAAGCAACCTGCAAGTCCCCTGAGAGTTCCAAGGACACCAGAGCTCTTAAGAGAGTATATCACTTCTGTGAAATACTGGCATTTCTTGGTTGCAAAGGTTGAGCCCTTTAGGTTGTAAGGTGATTGTAAATACTCCATTTGCATGGTTCCTGTGGACTGAATATCTTGGTGAAAGAAGCGTGCTTGTGAATACTTGTTTTGTATTTGGCTAATGTTGTTGCTTTAAGAATGCCATTCATGGAAGAAAATTATTGTTTTTTGAAATTGTGTGAGAGAATCTGTGATACTAGGTAAAATACCTACTATTTTCTTTAGTGTAGCTGTCTCAGAATTTTTTTCTGCTTCTGTCTTGTGGCAGTTATTGCAAAAAAAGAAAGGTGCAAGACATTGTTTAAGCACCAGATAGACGTAACTTCATGATGTCTTTCATCAGGCCAGATATGAGTTGCGAAGTATTTTTTGTAATTTATAATTCTTTTTTTAAATATTTTGCAGTTCTGTATGCTACAATTTGGTTAAATTCATTAGCTTACCATCTTTGTTAATATCATTCACTGTGCCTTGAAGTCTCTTTTTCTTATTGAAAATGTATGACAATGTAAAAAAAGGAGCTCTTCTGGCTCTAGTCGTGTGACAAGTCAAGATTTCTTTACGTTGAGTGGGAACTGTAGTGTTAGCCATGCTTTTAGTCACGTTTTCCACTTGCATGTTTTTTAGGCAGATGTGGCTTAATGTTGATTGAGAATACTAAAGGTGAACGTTGAAGCACATCTGACTTCATGAAATTATTTTCATTCCTTTTAGCCAAGCATTACAGATGCTGTATTTCATTTTGTTGCTGTTTATGTACCCTTTGTGCAGATCTGTTTAGTAGGCCGCTGAGCTCCTGCTCTGCCTTGGTGGTAGCTGGTGGGGAGAGATTGAGGAAAGAGAACTGGAAGTCCAGGTGCTTTAGTTCTGTGCTCTTGGAGTTACTTGCTCTTCTGCTGCTAGCTATGTGGTATTAAGCAAATGCTCTGTCTCAATCTCTTCTACTGCAGTCTTGTTTCTTCTGTAAATTGCACTGGCTTAAACTACATAGCTGCAGCTATGTTGGGAACCTTTGTTTTCTCCTATTACTGGGCAATAATCATAAGAACCCTGGTAGATGTATTTGTGATACTTTTTCATGCTTACTTGCTGTTGTGCTCATACTCTGTGCACACTGGAAGTTGGTGCTTTTGTACCTTAGAGGAGAGTGAGTAATTTCATATAGATGATGTTGTGGTGTGTATGTACGTGAACAAATACATACATTGGAGTTTTAAGTTGGAAGTTCCGTGGTAGAAGGTGTGAAAATACTAGTCACATTTGTTAGAATACTTTTAACTTGTTTTGCCTAATGATGTCACTGTGAATGAAGAATTATTCTTCAATAGAATGTAAAATAGATTTTCTGGATTTCTGCTGTTTGTATGGAGTGGAAGTGTCATCTCTGAACAGGAAAATCATCAGTTACTGTCTCATGCTGTTCAGATAAATTTATGCTGTTTTTTCTTCTGAATGGTAGTAAAGTTTTATTGACACAGTTGCATAACATTAACTTATTCATACTAGTTGTACATAAATCCACATAATTATCATAATTGTTTGAAATAGCAATTTTGTTTCTTAAAACAGAGTGCCCTGTTTAACTTTTTTCTTTAAATACAAAAGATTGTGTACAAACTGTTAGTGCTGTAGAGCTTTACGGGCACGACCGTGTCAGTCCGGGATCATTTCTTTTCACATCTATCATATAGAATTGGGCGTTTGGTACTGGATGGGTTCTCTGTTTGACATCTTTAAGGCAAACCTGAATGTACTTTTAAGGTAACCAGATCAGGGTTTCCTTCTTGGGAACTCCGATCTGTATTGGAGATCAGCCTAAATCAGCTGCACTGGATTTGTTCTTAATAGTTTTACAACGAAGAAATGAAGTATTAAATCTTAATGGTACTGGAAATACGATACTCTGGTAAATGAGTGACTTTACAAAAGGCAATTACTAGATTTCTTTAGTTCTATGCCTATATGCTGGTTCTTGTCACTTTTTCCCTTGAAATTCATTGTGCTTTTAGGTGTTCATTGAAAATGTTTGGAGTTTTAGTTGTGTATCCCTCAATTATGGCTTCCCTGAAAATGAACAATTTATAGAAAAGCTTATCAAACTTCAGCAGTTTTGTGCAGCCAGGACAAAGATGTTGTTCTATCCATGACTTCTTTTGAGTGTTGGGTGGTTTTTTTCTTATTGTAACTACCAATTCTTTAAAAAAAAAAAAAAAGAGGACAGGGACGAGAAGCCTTGCCAGAATCTTCCAGAAGAAGGAAATGGGTATTTGTAATGAATTGGGTGAATGGACTTGTAAAACTCTATTGCATCACTAGAGAGGAAAGAATAGGGAACATTGTGTGTATGGAGTTTCTACTTTCATAGTTTCCCTAACATACTAAGTGTTTTCTGTTGTGGGTTTTTGGTGGGTTTGGTTGTTTTTTTATTTTTCTTTTTTTTTTTTAGTTTGGGAAGTCATAGAATTTAGCTTTAGGTAGTTCTGCAAGGAGCAGGGAGGTGGACTTGATGATTGTTATGGGTCCCTTCCAACTTGAGATATTCTGTGATTCTAAGTATATGTTTCCTTTAGTTGCAAACTTCTGATTAACTGAATGGCCATTCTTGAATGTATTGTTCTGAAGCTGCACTGAATTTCAGATTGGCATGGAGCATAGAGCAAAAACTGAAATGTAGTGTTTTGCATTATAGGTACAAGAACTGTAGAAGTCCACTTTAGAATCTGAAAGAATAAGTTTCTGCAACTCTGGAAAGATATGGTATGTTTATGCTTTCACTTATATTGTATGCGTGCTAATAATCATGATAACAAATATTTATACTTTTGTTCCCTGATTTAAAAAAAACAAGTTGAAAAATTCAGGAAGAAACACCCACAGTCATTTGGCCCACATTTTTTTGTCTGTGATGTCTTACTTAGGCAGAGTTATCTAGAAAACTTGAGTTACTTGGGGTTTTTTTGGAAAGAAATATACACTGATGATACATCATTAATGAATTCCATTTTAATTTGTTTTACAAGCTCAGCATCACACTGCTACCATCCATCTATTTCTCCATGGAAGGGAGAAGAATCAGTGCTGTTTCTTAAAGGTTGTTGTTTTTTTTTTCCCCTTGCCGCTGAGCATATTTATAGTGAGGCGTGTACAGTTTTTAGGTATGACTTGGAAAGTAAGTTCAGTAAGCAAACATCAGTGTAGATCAAATTTGCAAATTGGAATGTTAGGAAATACAGAAATGTGACATTCAATAGCAGTGCTAATGTGAGCCCGTGGCACATGATATCTCTTTTTGTCTGGGCTCTTAAATGTCCAGCCAGCTTAAAAATATATACATGCATTAAAGCAAGGTCAGAACCTTAACTGCTAGTTATTTTAAATTTCCATTTTCTAACTTTATTCTAGTGTACTCCAGTGGAGATATGGAATAACTGTACCGCTGTGTAGTGACTCAAGTTCTGTAGTTTTGCAACTTTGTACATAAAGAATTTTTTAAACTTTTGCATTACTGCATTCATTTTCATGAATGCAGTTATACTGGAAGTTCATTTTTGTAACATATTAAATAGGTCTGTTAATGCGTGTATAGAATTGTATGTAGTTACTTCAACAAATACTTCTAAGCTATGTGTGTACTTTCATTTTAACCACTTAAAATGTGGGGAAGAACTCGGTAACTGCTGATAAAAATTTTATACCCTGTATGTTTATGTCTAGATTTTTCTTTTGAAGATACTTAAGAACATATGTAAAGTTTTGAAATCATTACCTTGCAGAAGAGTTGTTGGGTATATTTTATTTTCTTTGAAGTTCCATGTCATAGAAAGCTATAGACAGGAGCTAAGATTCATTCTAAGCTGAAACTTTAAATAAAGTGTGTGTTAATTAAAAACTGTAAATCTCTTAAAAAGCCATAATATTACACTATCATAATCCAGATGTTCCTGAGAGAATTGTATAGCTTGGTCCTTTACTCTAGCAGGCATCTGGCAGGTAGTGTATATTCATTTTTGCACCCACAGCACCACTGGGACCACCCGCCTGCTTCTTGCTCTCCAGTTTCAATACCAGTTGTGTGTATGATGGCTCTTCAAATCCAAGCTGTTGCTTTATTGCTGTTATTTCTGCTGGCTGCTTTTTTCTGAATGTTTAACTGCTTGCCGTTGTATGTATGCATGGAGTCTGTGTAACGGTATGCGCTTCATAAATTGATGAACAAGAATTCCTCTCTAATCTCCCCCCAACTTCAGTAATGAATACTAATGGAACATCAGAAAAGCTAAATATTATGCTACAGAATTGCATGATTACTTGGTCTTAATATGAGCTATATATAAACAAATGTGCTGGTGACACTGGAGAATGTGGTGAACAGAAAGGTACTTTACATGGAAGGCTGTGTGGAAGATGAGTGGCAAACGAAAGCAAAATAACAGTGTAAGCAAAAAGACAGATGGAATAAAAGTTTAAATACTAAAGCTGAAGTGAAGCTGTAAAACTTACCTGTTTGGAAAATAACTTAATGTGATACCTAGCCAGTAAAACGAGAGCTACTAAAAGAAATTTAAATAGATGATTGGATTTCACCTCCTGATGTGAGAGGGGCTTTCCATTCATAACTGTGTATGATTTTGGAGGGAGCCTGAAGTAGCAGACATAACTGAAACAGAAGTAAATGGTTCTGCTGCAAAAAGTATTTGGGGGG